GCTCAATGTACAATCATTAATCCATCTCAAGCCTAATTCTCGTCAGTCTCCAATCTTCTGAAGCATAACGAACAAGTTCTTACATGGTGAACGAATTCTTACATAGTGAATAAATTCTTACATGGTGAACAGTACAAGGGCATTCATCACAGATACTTTCGGTTTTGATCATGCATTATGACCTATAAACAATCAGGTCAGATATGAATATTCGTTTGATTTTTGTACTTGATTTATATGTTGATCCCACATTTCTCCTATTATTATTATTTTTATTTTTAAAAAAATGCCTCACAGGCTATTTTAAATATACTAATCCATTTTATTTTTCACAGCAGACTATGTGGAAGGTTGTTCTTTCCACAAAAACATAAGCATTGTGAGAACAGGATTTTTCATTTATTTGGTATTTGGAAACTGTCTGGCACTAGGAAGCAATTAGTTATTGAATGAGTGAATAAATGAATAATATGAGAGAAAAGCAACAAATGTCAAGTCCTATTTCAACAGTAACACAAGGAATTCAGAAAAGATACAAAGTTTATCATTAATAGAAGTATGGTGATTCCAAGATATCATAAAGACCCTAATTCTGACTCATAGTATTATTTCAGAAATGTCAATTTTCTAAACCTCAGTTTCCCTCTCTGTAAACTTAGATTGACCTAGATGCTCCAAAGTATCTCTTCAAGCTTCCTGAATGCACAGTCCTTTCATCTGTAGATTTCTTATTTGGTGTTCATAAAGCCAGGTAAATAATTCTTAATTTAGACATACTCCTTATTTATATAATCCTATATACTCCTTATTTATATAATCCTAAAAAACTGAGACTGTTTCTCTTATTGTTATAATTTATTTATATAATCCTAAAAAAGTGAGACTGTTTCTCTTATTGTTATAACTCCAGCAAATAAATGTACTAAGGAAGATATGAATTTGTGTATGATCTCTGATACACTAAGTTGATGGAATTATTTTCCACTTAAAAATTTTATTTTATATTATTTTATAGTTTACCCAATCTAAAATAATTTAGACTTTTTTTTAAAACCTGAAATTACCTTATAAAAGGTAGGACAGGGTCATAATACCACTGTGCAATACAGCTATGATTTAGCAGAAAAGAGGCGTTTATCACTCCAGAAGCCTTCTTGAAAGGACCATACACTGGGCCCATTATTTTCTGGTTCTCAGGGTATCTGTCTTTTTCCTGCTATTGAGAATTGCTTATGTGATTTCTCACATTATTACCAATTAAGAAGTTGAAGTTTTGGCAACATTACCCAGCTTGAAATGCAGCCAAAATTTTTTTCTAAGAATTTTGTTTCATTTACATAAACATTGGCTTCTGAATACTGCCTTGCGCAAATGAGATAATTTAAGTTTCTATTCATTTATGCCAATTTCTAATGTGACAAATAGATAATTTTGTAAAGTCTGATGAAATTCCAAACCTTGGTACTTAAGTTCAGAAAATTACTAGGATTCAATAATTATCCATTTGTTTCTTCAAAATTACCCTTGGGGAGCCAAACATTCTCAATCTCCTTTCTTCAATTTCCCTCTCATTTTATCAAATATCCAATTATACCTACCTCATAACATTAACCAATTGATAAAGAACTGGTTGGAACATTTTAGAACTGAATTATCCTGGATCCCTTTCTCAATTGCTTTTTGACGCTGAAGGGGTTAAAATCACTTATATTTTGTTCTACTGTTTTTCTGATTAATAATTAACAAATGTTTAGCTACTTAGTTTATATACTGTATTGGCCATGAGAAAAATGTAGTTTAGTAGAAAGGGCTTTGCCCTTTAAATTCCTGTTCTGCCACTTGTCATTTATGTAACCTTAAGCAGGTCACAAATAGGGCAGCCTCGATTTCTTCGTTTGATAATAGGAATGACCTTCACTGGATCCTATGAAGGATAAAAATGACATTAAGTTTGAAGAGTTTAAAAAGCTATAAAATGCTAAAAAGTAACAATACAAACACTACTATCTGTTATGATGGGGGATACAAAGCTACTTAAGACTTTATCTATGCCATCAAAGAATTTATAATCTAGCCTAAACTGCCATCTGAGAAGTTGATAGGAGCACTATATCCTGTCAACCAGTGGTTTCCAACCTGAGATGAAAAATGACCAACTGGAGTATTAGAAAGAAAATATTATGACTTTTTATTTGTATTTGTAATACAGAAATAAAATTGAAAACAAGCTTCCACTATTATCTAATATACAAAACATCACTGATAGCCCCACTCAGTTCTAATGTCAGATGGTCACCTGTTATGTACATGTGCTTCGAGATGGTTAGGACACAGCATATTCCTCTTCACACATGACTATTTAAGCTGATTTATGCACTTATCTGATTTAATTGAACTAACTCACAAAATGAACATGTAGCTTAAAATACTTGCAAAGAAACCAGGACATGCAAACACAAATGATGAAAAAAAACAAACATTAAAAATATGACAAAGCTTACATCTGTCTTACTCCTAGTATGAGTTCTGTCAGCCACATTAAAAGGTAACAAGTTTTTTAAAACAAATGTTTTGAAATGGTTCCATCACTGCAGTATTCACTTTTCAATCTAATTTATCAATAAAGTAAATGTTTCAAAAAATTTGTCCATTAAATTGTCATCATCCCTGACACTAAACAGTACTTTTTTCTTAACTAAACTTGTGACACTTTGATACTTCTAACAAAATGTATCAAAACTACTGAAATTTTTCATTTAAAAGATCATAATTAGAAAATTCTGTTTTAAATGTTGAGTATTTGCAGTAATTAAAATTATCAGTACTAGAGTATTATATTGCTTTTGGCAATAAAATCATAATAAAAGCATATTTCATATTGTTTTCAAAGGATATCCTCATGAAATATATTTTGGCAGGACACCTTTTTGTTACAACAAATAAATCAAATATTTAATCATTTAATATTATTTTATATGTAATATACCAAACATATTAGTATAGCAATGCATGTATGTATATTTTTAATGTATCAGTACATACTGTGAAACATAAAAAGTTTGGTTACCCAGGTCTAATCCATCAGGATCATTCATTTCAGAAAAAAGCATGAAGTTGAATGATTTAATGACAAACCATGTATCTTTGATACATTACATTCCAGAAATACTGAAGAACAAAGAATACTTTTTCATTTTTTTGCCACTTGTTTACTATATACAGTTGACCTGGAACAATGTGGGGGGGGGGGGGTTAAAGGCACCAAACCCTGTACATTAAAAAATCAGCATAAAACTTCTGACCCCCCACAACCATAAAACTACTAATAGCCAGCTATTGACCTTACTGACAACATAAACAGTTGATTAACACATATTTTGTATGTTTTATGTATTATATACTATATTATTAAATTAAGGTGAGAAAATATTTTTCCCAATTGTCTCAAATCTCCAAGTCTTTCCAATATATTTATTGAAAAAATTCCACATATTAGGTAGACCTGCACAGTCTACTACACAGTTCAAGGATCAACAATATATCTACATAAGTGGTCATTAATAGCTTCTATTTGCTGTTAAGTCTGGAGTATGACTACAGCCATTAGACAGCAACAGGAGGAAATAAAGCACATTTTACTGAAGTGATACTTTGCTAAACCCACCCAAGACTACTACATCTTTCCTCAGAAAGAAACAAACTTCCCTGTGACAGTTTCAAGGATTAGCTCTAGTTTTCTGCTTACTAACTATACCACTTACTTAGGAAGTTAAATTTTAATGAATTGTGAAATTGCCAAGAAATTGTTATAATGGTTGCAACCAAATTAACTTGCAGCATTTTCCTGAAGGAATTGGCAGCTACACTTGCATGTGGAAATGGAGGGTCATAAGTTTATTTCCAGTGATGAAAAGACACTCAATTTAAACCAAAATACATGTTCCAGAAATAGTTAAGAAAACAGCAATTTACTACTCAGCAAAGTAGCCCAGGTCCCTTAGCTCCTTCCTCACTTACTAGCTCATAAACTCGAAACTGTGAGGTTGGAAGAAATCTTAGAGTTCACTTTATCTAACCTTTTAGCTGGTGCTTCTCACTGTACTTAATAAGGGTCGGGGCACGGCCTACAGGATTTCACGCTAGTTCTAGTCTTTGGGGAACCACTGCAATCAGAAAAGCTCATTATTTCCCCTGATAGCTAATTTAGCTTTTAGTAATTCTGCAAGTTAGAACTCTACTGCTTTTAACTTTGAGCCCTGTCTTGGTCTCTACAGTCACACATAAAATTAAAACATAAATAAATAAACACATTAAAAGTTAAAAGTCTCAACTGTTTTCCACTAAATCATTCAAAAAATATGCCCTGAGAGTTCACCATAGCCTCTAAGGAAATAGGTAACAAAACTTCCAGAAACATATCAATAAAACAACAGGACAACATGGTTACATATTACTAAATTTTCTTTCTTTTACAAATATTTGTTGAAGGCCTATTATTTATCACATATTGCACTATACATAGGGAAAAAATGGTCAGTAATACAGGGTTGATCCCTGCCCTCATGGAGCTTAAAGACCAGAGAGGAGGAACATAGAATTATGACAGAGAGTGCTAAGCGGTAATATATTAGAGGACCTTCTAACACATATATCAGCAATTCTGTACCCACTACATCTTTTCTTCTATAATCAAAGCAAATATGTAGATGCAAAGTTACCCAGAGAAACAGGAAAAAAACAACAGCACTGTAGTAGAGGTGATTTTAAATTCTGTTATTACATACATTCTTATATATATTGGTTGCTTTGTCAGTGTTTACATCCTCAAAATCAACTTGAAAATACACAACTTTTTAAGTCTGGAGACAGGTGACCTGGTATTTTTTTAGAGTGGAGAACCAAAATAAAATCATAGCATCATTTCTGATTTACACTTCTAGAACCCTATAGAAATTATTTCTTTGTAAGCTGGAATTACTTGTGAGAAGTCTTTGAAAAGACAAAAAAAAAGTATGGTTAAATTTGCAAGCACTGAAAAAGTTCTGTGTGCATCCGGTGCTATAGATATACAGGGAGATAAACAAGTTTTCAGTCTGGAAGAATATAAGACATGCTGACAAATCATTTCATTACAGCAGAGTCAGTACTACAAGAGCAGAGGTACCTGCAAAATACAACGAATACCAACATAATGGCCTTTTTCCCCACTAATGGAGAGGGTTGTGGAGGTTTCAGAGTCAGCATCAAGGTCCTGAGTGATGAAAAATTATCAGCTCCAGAGGTAGAAATGCAAGAAAGTATCCAGATAGAAATAGTCAGCTGCACTGTTAGTTCATCTTTATGCTTCATATTTAAAGAGATAACCCTTCCAGAATAGCAGACCGGTGTCCTTCAGATAGTATAAAAAATTACCTGAACCAATAAAATAATGATGGCAACCTGCTCTCTAGAGAAAGATTCCTCCATCCAAACAGGGATGCAGAAAAGTCCTCCCAGGCAATCTGGATTAGGGGTAGTTTCCCATTTGTGGTTTTCCAAGACTGATGTTAATCAGCTCTACAACTGAAACGGAAACTAGTTCATTGTTTATCAAGAAAGAGCTAAAAGATAGCAATCAGTGTGAACAATAGTATAATTAAGTGAAGTCAGTGTGGCAAGGATTCTTAATTTATACTTGACATCATGTTTACAAAGCTCTCCTTACAATTTAGGGGACTACAAAGGGAAGGACAAGGTATTTTTTTGTCTTGAATTGAAAAACCCTGGCTTACTAAACAGAGTAGCCTCACTTGATAAGGAAATCTGTGTTTCAAGCCAATTCATGTCTTAAAATTTCAACAGGAGCCAAATCAATGCATAGTCTACTCCATTAACCTAACATTTGTGACACTTACCAACAGAGATTCACCAGAAAATCTACCCAAATGTGACTCCAAGTACCTTTTCTTTCACGCTTTAGCCCCAGGCAAGTCCTTGGCTTGAAAGACTAGCCCTTATTATTTTACAATTAGAAACTGAGTTTAAGCACTCGATGAAATTTTCCCTATAAAATGAGGCTAGTAATATCTACTTTATAGGGCTTTTGTCAGGTTAGACCTGTCAAGTTCTTAGCACAAGGCTGGCACCTAATCAACAAACATAAAAAAAAAACAAGGTATTAATCACGCCGTCTTTTTGGCTAGGGGTACTTGCAGGCCTAATATCTGCAAAAACGACTCCCTTCAGCAGTTTTGGTGATCTCAGAAAGCCTCTTTCCCCAAAGCAGGTACTCACTCCACAGGACCACCTTCCCACCAATAATGTATATGTGCATCTCCAGATACCCTGGAGCCTTATTTTCTCCTTAAAATAGATGCTGGGGTTCCTCAGGGTAATTATAGAGAAAGACAGGGCACCCGGGAAGATATACTGCTGTGAATAAAATTTGCACTGTGAACAAAATAAAACATAAAATTCAAACCCTAATAGATTGGGAAATTGGAAAAACTTTCACTTGGAAACATCATTTCAGTAGAAGAGTATTCAAAAGAGAAAAAAATCTTGTATTCCATATTGCTCCTTTTGTTCAAAGGCTGAATGGTGAAGCCACCTAAGACTTCCAGATTTTTTTCTTTTTCCTGCGTAGTCTCTGGCTGTTCACATTCCCATAATGGTGGTTGCGCTTTCCAAGGAAATGTCGGGAGGCCAGCTGCCTTGGAGGTACGTCTCCAGGACTTCTCTGCATTCTACATGCACAGAAAGACTCCAGAAGGGATGGTAGCTGCCAGAGGCCTCTGCTAGCTGTTAGAGGTAGGCAGGTAGATCCACGGCTGCAGGCTGCTCTGCCTCTCAGCCCCAATGTCTGTTTTTGACTGTGGTTTTAAAAGAGCCCCCTCAACAGATGCTCTATTTAATAACTAAAAGACAATAAAAACTAGAGTTACAAGCCAACAAGGATCATATTGTCTTTTAAAAATGTTTAATCATGTATTAGTTTCATTTAAGCAAAAAGTACCAATACTAGTATTTGAGATGCTGGCATTTGTTTAATGCTGCTTCAGACATTCACAAAAAGCTGCCATTCTCAAAAGCTGAATGCTTATTAAGCAACACATATCATGCGTTCAGCCAACATGCTCAAGAAGCACATGCATATGCATTTGAAATTAACTGCCAATGTATAAACCGAACAATTTTGAAATGTACTTAATGAACAAGTTAACTAGCAACCTAGAGACATGAACGTGTATACCTTACATATACTAAATGTAGGCTTAATGCTGCTTTGATCCATATTTCCAGGTACAAGGCTATTTATCCCATTTACAAAGTAAATACTAGAGTTTATGTTTTCTATAGGTAGAGGTATCTCCCTAATTAGAAGAGTGAGAGTTTTAAGATGATTTCATAAACCACAGTTTGAGTATAACTTATTTTTGTGGGAAAAAAGGGAAAGTTTCCTATTACATCTTTTTCCTAAGCTACAATACAATACAATATGTTCAAGATTCTGAGAAGTTTTGAAGGAAACTATTTCACACAATCTATACTTATTCAACTACTAGAAAAGAATTCAGAAGGAACAACTTACTAGTTTCAGCTCTGTTATTAGCAGCTGCCTGTAATAACCACTGAAGTTTATAACAAGCTGAAGTGACACAACTGGTGAGCAATTCCAGTTTCTCACAGATGTGGGGCCACTGCTGGTCCATTAAACAGTGTGGAAAATGCTGATTTAGGATAAGGCTATTGTCCTTTCAACACTTGTCCTGATTCCATTTTTCACATCTCACTTCTTAAGAGCTAAGTAAGGGAGGAAGGGAAAGGGAAAAAAATGTTATGTTAAACTGCAAGGATGGGTAAGTAAGTCCCTATCAACTTTACTCTCTAACCATCCACTTTTCCATCACAGTTTTGGACAACTAGAACTGAACTTGAGCCAACCTCTTCTTAACTATGTCTTTACCTTTTTGGGTTCATGTCTACTTATCAGCATCATACTTGTGAGAGCTAATTTGATTTGTGAAGTAGAATATACTAAAGTGAAAAATCACTTATAAAAAATAATGCAGGAAAGCAAGAAGTAGAAAATAAGCAGGCTCAAGCAAGAAATCTGTGAGAAAATCATAATTTCTCCAGCCTCTATTTCCCTCTTCCTGATGAATAAATAAACATCAATTTGCATAAGCCACCAGGGATGAGGGAAGCTTGCTTTCAATGAAAGTCAAAAAAATTTTAGTGGAGCTCACCCAGTTTGTTCCTCAGATGTGGCAAATCATATATTCCCACAGTTCCCAGTTGCATGGACAACTGACTGATAAAATCAGTGACATCCTATGAAGAGTTTGCAATGGTAAACTAAGTCATTATACTGAGATTAAGCATCATCATTAAAGAAAATAAAATAATTAGGCATGCATTAAGTGCTAAACTTGTATTCTTAACCTAAATTGAAACGCTCTTAGAAGTAAAACCCAACTTGTTTAAAAGAAAAAAAGAAAAAGGAAATCCTGATTTTGGTGTATTGAATCATTTAAATGAATTTTAAAAAGTAGATATTCCATTAACAAGTAGTCTTAAAGCTGAATTGTTCTATCTTAAAAGGGAACCAATAAGGTACAGTGGAAAAATGGTGCAAGATTCCCAAATCCTTCATTGTAGAAACACAGACATTTCTTACTGTGTGCAAGCTTGGAGTTTCTAGTCACTTGCACACAAAATGGACAAACAAATCTGGCATGGACTTCCCAGCATACAGTTCTTGTTTTGAGTAACAACCGACTTCAGAAATATCCCTGGTGAGTGCTTTTTTGCTTAGAGCTTCTAAGACTGGTGGACCCCAAACAAAAACTCAATTAGAAATCAATGAGGCTTGTTTGACTATCATCAAATAACATTTTCAGCCATAGTGAATCTCATTTCCCTTCCACACATCTTCTTCAGCCCTTGAGTGGCTTGATCTTCAGAATCAAATCTGAATTCTTTCTCTACAGCATCATATAGCCTCAGAGAAAGTGAAATGAGAAGCAGTAAAAGGTTAGAAAGTCTATTCAACTTAAAGGTATTCTTCAGAGCTTAGTTTCTTCATGACTTGCTTCATTGGGCAATTTGATAGGATGACATACAGAGGAGCTTTATAATGATAATCATAAAAATGAACAAAGTTCATAAAAGCATAAAGAACAAAAAGAAATCATGTACCCACTCATCACATAAAGTCAGTCACAGTTAAACTTCCCTTATTTTGTTTTGTGACATTGTGTTTTCATGTAAAAGGCTGTCCACTTTTAATCTGCGGGTACTTTTAAGGGTGCACATTTGTTGGATTGTCCCTATTGTAACCAAATGGCAAATGCTATTAAAATTTGATAATCTTAAGTAACTGTCCTGCAGATAGCATTGCTTTGTTTGGGTCAGCACATTTTTTTTTTAAGAAAATTTAATTTACACATCTGTAAAGTTTCCATTTTGCCATAGGTTTAATTACTCCATATTGTTTTACATAAGGGAGTTTTAAATACCTTGGTATCTGCCTGTGTGGGCCCTAAATGCATTTACATTTGTCAACCCCAGAAAATGTTCAGATAACTGAAATGTCTGCAGGAAGTTGAGTAGAAAAACTATCTTTTAAGAATATATACCTAGTGCTTCCTGCCTAACTATGCAAAAACTTTCAGAGTCAAGACTTATTTCCTTTAAAGATTTTTATCTAGCTTGAAGTCACATGCAAAAAAAAAAAGATAAGATTACCACCACTCCACTCCCAATTTCTCAAGGAATTAAAACCAAGATGAAAAAAAGTTTTAGAAACTTCAAATCCTGAAACACGCTCATCTTCCAGGGAGACACTTTAATAAGGCAAGTTCCTAGCAGTAAGAGTGGTATCACAACTGCCTCAAAGGTGTAATGCGGGGAGAATGATGTGGGAGCTGCCTGCTCTACTGAGATGCAGGATGCTCTGCAGGGAACAGAAGGTGGAACAGGAGCCTGACAGACTACCTTGTCAACTGAAATCAACACGGCTGTTATTTTTAAGAAAAACAGAATTTATCCATAGTCTTACTGAGGATTATGGCCAGCAAATAACCTAGGGAGAATTTTGGTAAACTGCTCCAAAGCCCCTTCATTTGGAGACAAATACCTGTTCTATAGCAGGAGATACATGCAAAAAGAGGTTACATTTATCAATACATCACGGATCTATCTAATTAGTGCCCTAAAGGGTCATGTTATACATGTTCCAATACTATCCATGCGTGTGAGAGGAGGCAAGGATCAAGGTTGTACAAAAGGGTCTCAGTAGGTGGCGTACCTCATCTCTCTTTCAGGACAGAGAGGGCACATGTGGCAGATTATATTATGGATGCTGGCCAAAAAAATTCCTGACTGACTACCTTTCTGAAGGAGGTCAAAGTGCAATTAGGTTAGGGCTGAAGCCCCAGTTTGGTCACTTGTCCTAGCATAAGTGACATCATGGTGGGCCTGTGTCTTTCTTTTGAATAACCTGCAGTTATCACATACTCAGCAACTTCTAAGAGGAAGAAAAAGAAACCGTCTGATAAAACATATCTGAAAGGGCAAGAGGAAACAAGTGCTCGGGTCTGGCATGAGTTCACAGAGACATTTGGGAATCTAGATGATTTGCAAAATAACAATGGATAAAGTAACGATGGCAGATATATGTGGGGAAAATCTGTCAGATACTCCTGTAAGGGTGGTAGGCTGAATGAACTATGTTGTAGTTTACATGAGACAGTTAAAATTGAATAACAAATACTACTTAAGTTTTGATGATTCTTCATTTTTAAAAATAAATTTTCATTTAATAAATACTTTCTAAGTCTCAGGTGTTAGATACTCATTAAATAGGTTTGTATTTTTTCTGAGTTACACAACCAGCATGGTTTCTCCAGCACTACTGTAGGCAGGAAATACTGATGCTTCTGGTAAAATCCAGCAAGAGTTTTGTGTCAACAAGTATCAAAAGTGCTTGACCTCCTTATTATCTGAAGTCAACACCACTTTGTCATTTTTCTTAAATTGTTTAAAACTCTGCTCCCCATTACCTTCCACTGGATTTGCTAAAAGAACATAGATTTTGTCACTCTGTGAAACATGTTTATCTGGACCTACTTGATTACGTTGGGAGATTTTAGAACCAATTATCTTAAGTATATTCTATTCTACTTATTAAAATTATGATCCTTAATGCAAGGTCTAACTAATCAGACTGGCTGATTTTTTCAGCAGGAAAAGAAAACACGGTCCTTATGATGGTTCTGGTCAAATAGGCACTTTAAAACACTGGACTGAAATTGGTGATGGAAGAACACTCTTCATATTTTTATTCCTAATGAGAGAATGCTGCCCAGGTGCACATGATTAGGTAGGGTTCAACCTTACAACAGTGTGTTTACTGACTCTTCCCACTCATGGTTGAGAATACTTATAACCTTTTTCGGCTTTAAAAAGTGGTTTTCTATTGACTCGAAACTAATGTTCTGAGGCTATGGGAAAATACCACATCTTCTTACACTACGATTTAAAAATAAATACTAAGAGGTGTTCTGATTCCTCCTTCAGCCACCAGCTGCTCCCCCTGTCCCTACCAGCTCTGGATGCCTATTTAAGCTGAGAGCAGAAAACCTGATGGAAAGTATTAATAGAGGGAAATTACCCTTTACTATTTCTGATTATGGCTTAGGCAATTAAATGGTGACTTATCAAGCATCCCCACCAGTTTCCCCGGTTCTACAAAAGTGGAGAATGACAAGTTTTCTAAGCTAAGTGGGTTCAACTATTTACTCATCTATTTATATACTATTACTCATCTTTCACTTAAATAAATTATTCATTTACTGTTTCTCCACTGAATTCCACTTCATTGATTCACTTTCATTTTTCTTAAGTGGCTATTATGTCAGGCAAGAAAGGACAAGAGGGGGAGGGGAAGGAGAGGGTAGGGAAGAGGTGGGGGACAGGAAGAAAGAGGAAGGTACATAGTAACAATCGGTTTGAATATCTCTTTCTTGTACACCAATTTCACCTCCAATTGATTCTCCATCTGAAGGTAGACAACTTTTGAAGGGCTCCAAACAGACAGCATATGAAACATCTGTAAAGCCGTAGGCTGATCAATATGCAGACCAAGAATTCTATTCAGATTAAATTACATGCACTCCAATTTTAAAAATTCACATAGATACTCTTATTTTGTTTTAAAGTCATAGTATACAGTGGTGATATTAAAATATTTAATGACCAGACAAGTATGGGCTCCAACTACTGAAATGAAGGGTGGCCCTCAACAGCTGCTTGGATAGACTGGTTTCAGCTATCAGACTAGCCAATCAATCTAAGGTGAAGTGAGACCATTTTTTCCTCTCTCTTCTTTTTTCTTATTAAAGAGGGTCCTCACAGCTTACAAAAAAAAAGGCAGTTATTCTCATAAATACAGTTGGCTCAGAAGCAACACCATATCCTCTTAATTAGTTGCAAACCATGTGAGAAATCACAACAAACTGGGATGTTAGTCTTCTGTTAGTGCTTTGTCTCTCGTCATCTTTGACAGTAATTCCCCACTTTCCCACGAACCCAGTGACTGGACACTATTACCACATGTTCCCAAGACTGTAAGCCCTATCCCATGAAAGCCTGTCTCTAGTTATACTCTATAATAAGAACCAGCTAGTCTCAGGCTTGTGTCTTCAATTTACTTAAACCATTTAATACTTCAACAGGAAAAGTTCCAATTTCAGAAAGGTATATAGCATAGACTATAATGTGTGGTAAACTATTTTACCCTAAAGCATGCCTGCAAATGGAAACAATGTGTTAGAATATAAAAATGGACAATAGTTCCAGAAGAAAGCAAGCCAGACTGACTGGGCTACGATTTTCTTTAGTAGCCCAAAAAGGAACTCTAGTGTTCTCTGTATCTTTGTCTTACTTTAGTTATTAATACATTTAGTACATTAATTACTTTGGTGAATCATTTAGGTTAATTTCTCAGAGCCAATGATAAGAAAGTGTAGCAGTTCCAAGGAAAAGAAGTTTATAATATTTCTATCTTTCCTACAGATTCAGTACAAAGCCAAGTGACTAGGAGACATTTAGAAATTATGAGGTAAGAAAGAAAATAAGTTAAGAATTTACTCATATTTACCAAAATGTAAATTTAAATATAGATGGATTATACATATTCAAATATAGATCAGGTTTGTTTTTTTAACATACTGAGATCATAATTTTAAATAAAGTGACAAAATTACACTAATCTCTTAAGAAAGGCAGTGTTAATATTGGTCATTTTCTTAATCTAAAATTATTATTCTGAGGGCCTCCTGATTAAAAGATATCAAATCATTGAAAATAAAAATGTACTTTCCAACAAAACTAACCTTAAAAAAGGCAAACCACTTGTAGTCATTCAACACAATCTCAAAGCCTTGATTGTAAATGATGGTGAAATGGCCAGAATTGCCAAAGTCATCATATGCTGTATCCAACTTCACAAGGTGCACCACAACTTTTTTTTCTGGTGGTCCTAAATAAAAGAAAATGCACAACAGAGGAAAATTATTTGGACTTCAATAGGAGGAAAAATATCTATCATTTATTTCCATTATTTTTAAGCTGCTTTCTTTTCATGCTACCCAAATTGGGCAAGTCTGGCTTGGGAAGTTATCAGTCTCCATCTTGCTGCCTTGTTGCCGGTGCTCCGGGGAAGGTTCAGGCAAGCTTGTGAAGTCAAGGCACCAAAGACAGAGATGTGTATGTCCAGCAGCCCAGCGGGCTGAGAGACTCCAGAAAGCACAGCCCCTCAAGCATCCAAACACCAAAGAAATTTTTCCATTGAAGAAAAGGAGCAATGAGGATGCTAAAAATTAACAGGTGGAAATAGGGAGAAAACAAAATGGTAGTCAAAAAGTAATTGAAAAAGACCACTAAGGTCAAAAAAAGAAAAAAAGGAAATGATTCTCTTAGAGAAGAAATGGGACTATATCGTTCTCCTCAGTGGCTCTACAGTTCACTATCTCATAGTCTGAATCCTTTCAAATTATTCAGCAGATGTGTTAGGTTTCTGCCCTATAAAGCTAGTTTGTGCTGACAGGAACTAAACTTTTAACCTTTAGAAGACGGGGGATCAGATCTGTGGGTGTCTTTGTTCCATTAAGGTCAAAGGTGTGGTTTAAAGGCAGAGGCTGCCTGAGGAGGATTCTGCTGTGCACTTCTGGAGGTTTCCATACTTTAGACAGGTTTTTTTTTTTCAAGTTTTAGATGAATGCTCTTAAGTAGGAGATAGCACGTAACAGAACAGCACAATTCCTCATCTCTCCTCTACTTTGGACTACCAGGTTCAATTTAAAGAAAAAAGAAGATGGCTGGAAAGCCCAGGATTACGAAATGCTGCAGTGTCATCTGGAGTTGAGACAGTTAAACAAATCTATTTAAGTAAGGAATGACCCGGCAATCTTTGTTCTGCAGATACGGAAATTACATCTGAGAGCTTCACTCACTCTGCACAAGCCACAGCGTGGTTAAGTTTTTGGGCAGAACAAGCCTTTTTTGACCTGAGATTGTGTGTTTTTTCTACTTCCTTTACTAAATTTTTTTGTCCTTGGTAGAGCCATGTTATCTGAGAACATGTAGAATATCAGAGTGTGTTCAAACACTAGATATTTATTGAGACCCTTTCATGAACCAGGCATTGTTCTGGGCTCTGGAAATTTCCAAATGTAATTATTGGCCTAAGAATTACTTAAAAACAACAAGAATAATTTTATGTACCTCCCTGTGACACACAAAACTGTGGAGTGGTGACAAAACTTTTCTCGGTCTAGTAGCCTCAACACACATCCAAATCAGAATTTCTGGGCACAAGGGCTCTTTCCCACCACCTAATAAAAGAAAACTTTTGTAACTATATTCTCTAGAGTCTTTGTGGCTGGGCAGCCCTGCACACTAGGTGAAATCTCAACGGGAATCCGGGGAGGCTTAATTTTGATAGAGCAAGAATTCATGAACAGGTGGGATGAGTGTAGGTAGGTAATAAAGGAATTCATTAAAGCAAGAGTAGTGAATGGCAGTAGCCATGCAGACCAGAGAGAGAAAGGAAGAACAGAGGAAAAAAGGAAAGTTCGCTGAACTCTTACACAACATAGGGCAGATCCCTTGCCAACTCCTAAAACCAGGGTCACCTGCAGTCCAGTGCCTGCTTGAATCTGCACAGTGTGGGAACAAAGCGGCAGAGCAGTGGAGTGAGGTTATGTTCTGAGAACTTCCCAAAGGCAAAGAAAGAAGATTTTTGCGCAGGCTACAAAAGAGCATGATCCTATAGCTGCAGTCCTGTCCTGGTCACCCAGGCGACAGGAACTTACAAGCCCAAATCAGAGATCTTAGCAGCCCTTCCCAACTAAGGGTAGTGAGGGCAGCCTCATAGAGGAGGCCTGCTTAAAGGCTTAGGATTCCTGTCTTCGAAGGATTTTAAGAATGGGACAAAGCGCTGGGGGAGGGCATGGGCTTGACATGTGGTCTCATGGTGTCTTATCTCCAGTGACAGATACTATGTCACCACCCACAGTCCTCTAGATATTCTGTAAGATAAACTTAACACAAGGTATTTGTTGATCCTTTTCTCCAAGATGTGGTTACCCTCAAGCAGTAGGAACGTATCACTTAGGAGTGTTTGCTCTGCCTTAAGATAGGATCACTTGTTGGCTAAGTACTTTGGGCCTACCTCCCAACTCCCTTGTTTTTAAAATGTAATTTTAGCCTTAAGATGGAGTCCCTCCTGTTCTTCCTATACGGCTTATGTCTTGGCATTTTTCATGATAGGTACGAAAACTTGATCATGATGCTTATCCCATGTCTGCTCTACCTCACGTTGAGCTCATTTTTCATTGGCACAATAAAAAACTGCGGATTGGACAGGAAGATCATAAGATTGTATGGTCTCAATTCCCTCCCAAAGAAAACAAGCCATAAACCAAAAACAAAAAATTATGGGGGGAAAAAAGACTGCAGGTCTCAACTCTCTTCCAAACAAAACAATCCATAAACCAAAAAACAAAAACTAAGCGAGGCAAAAAAAAGTTCTGAAAAAAGTGCACAGGCCACAGAACAAGCAAGAAAATGTGAAGTTAGACGTTCTCAGCCGCTCAGTTCTGCCTTCTCAGGCCTGGGTCGGGAGACGGCGTCCCAGGGGGCTCCGACCCAGCCGCAGTGCCCGGCTCCAGCTGGCGCTGGCCGCGGGCGGGGGGCTCCGAGTGGGCTCGCCGGGGCAGGGCTCAGGGCCGGGGAGGAAGGCATCGGGGGCGGGCGTGGGGAGAGGGGGTCCCGAGCGCTCACGGCTTACCCGTAGCCGTGCAGTTGACGTCGCGCTGGGAACCACTGCGGCCCACCTGAAAGACCCAGGTGCCCAGCAGCTCGGGGTAGGTGCAGTTGGCAGGGGTGTCGCAGTATGCGGTGCCCACCCAGCAGAGGAGCAGGAGGGCGACGACAAGCCCCCGACGCCGGGGACCCATGCTGGCGGGGCCGGAGAGGCGGAGGAGGGAGCAGCACCCGGCGGGCAGCAGCGGCAGCAGCAGCAGCGAGGCAGCTCGCAACGCGCGCCCTAAAATAAGCGGAGGGGCCGGAAGCCGGCCGAGGGGCGGCGTCTAGGGGCTGCGGGGCATTGGGCGCCGGCGCCGGGCGGGGCCGCGCCCTGCAGGTCGGGGCTCAGAGCGCCCGGGGCGCCAAGCCTGGTAATGGGACTTTGCTCCCTCCCTGGGCGAGCCCGGGGGCTGGATCTGAGGCCAAAGCGACGTCTCAGGGTAGCGTTTACGAGCGAAGCTGTTCCACGCGCGACCCAGAGTTCGCTCCTTGAGAAGTAACTGGGGTGGGGGTGGGAGGTGGGGGTGAGAGGAGAGAGAATTTGAACGTGGGGCTGGGGGTGGGACGGAAAAACCGGACAGAAGGGGGGAGGTGGAGGAGACAGGTGGTGAGAAAAAGGCCCAGGGAGGGAAAGATCTAACAAGTGGGGATTTCCCTTACCTCTTGCCTCCCCCTGCCTTACTTGCTTTTTTCTCACCGACTCAGTGTTTTTCCTCAGATTTTACTTGGTACCCCCAGCCACCACAGCTGCTTTAGAACTGTTCTTCCTTCCGTTTTCCAGAACTTTCACTACCTTTTTCTATTTGGTTTTGTCTGGTTTCCTGTTAATGTTGTTTGCCTGTTATCCACAGGAGGCTCAGTTTTAGTGCAAACTTGCATTTTTTGTGTAATTTTTTTTTCCCCTGCACACTTTACAGCATTTAATTAACACACACACATGAACAAAAGCTCTCAGAGATTATGTTGCTCAATCCTTCTTTTCCAGGTGAAAAGCAGGAGGCCCTGAGAGAGGAAGTACTTTGCCCAGGGTGAGGAAGGAGTCAGGTGGGAGAAAGCTGGATTATAAGCAGGTCCCAGTGTGTCAGTCTGATCGCCAATCACTGATCACCGGCACTATTTCCAGGTGCCACTTAGCTCAGTTTAAATATCACCCTTTTCTGTAAGAGCTACTCCGACTTTCCTGGCCATTGTTGGAATTTGGGGCTCCTTTCCTGCTGTCAGAAAGAAAATACAAGCCCAGAATAGAGTCACTTATATTAAGCCACATTACCAAACTAGGGCTAAATACCTAACCTAATGGCAGTTTCAACTTCCCCCGGAAATGTCATCCAAACTGGTCATTCGGGAACTTTCGGGTTAGCACCAGTAAGGTAATCTGTCACATGGACCCTCTCCATCCCCCAAAGGAAGATGGGGTGATTCATCTAGTAAGACCCTTACACCCAAAGTTAAGGTGACCTCACCCAAAATAAACCTTTTTTCTGCTTGTGACTTCCTTGTCCTGCCTTTAAAAGCTTTATCCTTTCTGTGGCCCTTTGGAGGCCCCCTCTACTTGCTAGATGGGATGCTGCCCGATTCATGAATCAATTAATAGACTCAGATCTTTAAAATCTACTCAGTTGAATTTTTGTGGTTTAACAGTGCACATTGTCTATTAGGTGACAAGCCTCATGCCAGCATCAAGGACAAGTGATGAACAAAACAGACTTTCATGTGTCTCCGTCCTCTATGGCACATGGACTCTGCTGTCATCACACTGGTAACAAATATTTTTGTCCACGGTTTCCATTAGATTATAAGCATTCAAAAGGAGCAAATCCACAGTATTCACCTTTGTCTCCCTAGACTCTGGCTTGAAAACACTCAAGACAGTGCACTTAGTAACTCTGTCTTCATTTCTAGGCCTGCAAGCGTACTTGGACTTGGCAAGGAGTTGCCCTTGAAAGCTCAGAAGTGAAAATGCTACTGCAAAGGCAAGGATGTGCCCAAATCAGAGATCTTAGCAGCCCTTCCCAACTAAGGGTAGTGAGGGCAGCCTCATAGAGGAGGCCTGCTTAAAGGCTTAGGATTCCTGTCTTCGAAGGATTTTAAGAATGGGACAAAGCGCTGGGGGAGGGCATGGGCTTGACATGTGGTCTCATGGTGTCTTATCTCCAGTGACAGATACTATGTCACCACCCACAGTCCTCTAGATATTCTGTAAGATAAACTTAACACAAGGTATTTGTTGATCCTTTTCTCCAAGATGTGGTTACCCTCAAGCAGTAGGAACGTATCACTTAGGAGTGTTTGCTCTGCCTTAAGATAGGATCACTTGTTGGCTAAGTACTTTGGGCCTACCTCCCAACTCCCTTGTTTTTAAAATGTAATTTTAGCCTTAAGATGGAGTCCCTCCTGTTCTTCCTATACAGCTTATGTCTTGGCATTTTTCATGATAGGTACGAAAACTTGATCATGATGCTTATCCCATGTCTGCTCTACCTCACGTTGAGCTCATTTTTCATTGGCACAATAAAAAACTGCGGATTGGACAGGAAGATCATAAGATTGTATGGTCTCAATTCCCTCCCAAAGAAAACAAGCCATAAACCAAAAACAAAAAATTATGGGGGGAAAAAAGACTGCAGGTCTCAACTCTCTTCCAAACAAAACAATCCATAAACCAAAAAACAAAAACTAAGCGAGGCAAAAAAAAGTTCTGAAAAAAGTGCACAGGCCACAGAACAAGCAAGAAAATGTGAAGTTAGACGTTCTCAGCCGCTCAGTTCTGCCTTCTCAGGCCTGGGTCGGGAGACGGCGTCCCAGGGGGCTCCGACCCAGCCGCAGTGCCCGGCTCCAGCTGGCGCTGGCCGCGGGCGGGGGGCTCCGAGTGGGCTCGCCGGGGCAGGGCTCAGGGCCGGGGAGGAAGGCATCGGGGGCGGGCGTGGGGAGAGGGGGTCCCGAGCGCTCACGGCTTACCCGTAGCCGTGCAGTTGACGTCGCGCTGGGAACCACTGCGGCCCACCTGAAAGACCCAGGTGCCCAGCAGCTCGGGGTAGGTGCAGTTGGCAGGGGTGTCGCAGTATGCGGTGCCCACCCAGCAGAGGAGCAGGAGGGCGACGACAAGCCCCCGACGCCGGGGACCCATGCTGGCGGGGCCGGAGAGGCGGAGGAGGGAGCAGCACCCGGGGGGCAGCAGCGGCAGCAGCAGCAGCAGCGAGGCAGCTCGCAACGCGCGCCCTAAAATAAGCGGAGGGGCCGGAAGCCGGCCGAGGGGCGGCGTCTAGGGGCTGCGGGGCATTGGGCGCCGGCGCCGGGCGGGGCCGCGCCCTGCAGGTCGGGGCTCAGAGCGCCCGGGGCGCCAAGCCTGGTAATGGGACTTTGCTCCCTCCCTGGGCGAGCCCGGGGGCTGGATCTGAGGCCAAAGCGACGTCTCAGGGTAGCGTTTACGAGCGAAGCTGTTCCACGCGCGACCCAGAGTTCGCTCCTTGAGAAGTAACTGGGGTGGGGGTGGGAGGTGGGGGTGAGAGGAGAGAGAATTTGAACGTGGGGCTGGGGGTGGGACGGAAAAACCGGACAGAAGGGGGGAGGTGGAGGAGACAGGTGGTGAGAAAAAGGCCCAGGGAGGGAAAGATCTAACAAGTGGGGATTTCCCTTACCTCTTGCCTCCCCCTGCCTTACTTGCTTTTTTCTCACCGACTCAGTGTTTTTCCTCAGATTTTACTTGGTACCCCCAGCCACCACAGCTGCTTTAGAACTGTTCTTCCTTCCGTTTTCCAGAACTTTCACTACCTTTTTCTATTTGGTTTTGTCTGGTTTCCTGTTAATGTTGTTTGCCTGTTATCCACAGGAGGCTCAGTTTTAGTGCAAACTTGCATTTTTTGTGTAATTTTTTTTTCCCCTGCACACTTTACAGCATTTAATTAACACACACACATGAACAAAAGCTCTCAGAGATTATGTTGCTCAATCCTTCTTTTCCAGGTGAAAAGCAGGAGGCCCTGAGAGAGGAAGTACTTTGCCCAGGGTGAGGAAGGAGTCAGGTGGGAGAAAGCTGGATTATAAGCAGGTCCCAGTGTGTCAGTCTGATCGCCAATCACTGATCACCGGCACTATTTCCAGGTGCCACTTAGCTCAGTTTAAATATCACCCTTTTCTGTAAGAGCTACTCCGACTTTCCTGGCCATTGTTGGAATTTGGGGCTCCTTTCCTGCTGTCAGAAAGAAAATACAAGCCCAGAATAGAGTCACTTATATTAAGCCACATTACCAAACTAGGGCTAAATACCTAACCTAATGGCAGTTTCAACTTCCCCCGGAAATGTCATCCAAACTGGTCATTCGGGAACTTTCGGGTTAGCACCAGTAAGGTAATCTGTCACATGGACCCTCTCCATCCCCCAAAGGAAGATGGGGTGATTCATCTAGTAAGACCCTTACACCCAAAGTTAAGGTGACCTCACCCAAAATAAACCTTTTTTCTGCTTGTGACTTCCTTGTCCTGCCTTTAAAAGCTTTATCCTTTCTGTGGCCCTTTGGAGGCCCCCTCTACTTGCTAGATGGGATGCTGCCCGATTCATGAATCAATTAATAGACTCAGATCTTTAAAATCTACTCAGTTGAATTTTTGTGGTTTAACAGTGCACATTGTCTATTAGGTGACAAGCCTCATGCCAGCATCAAGGACAAGTGATGAACAAAACAGACTTTCATGTGTCTCCGTCCTCTATGGCACATGGACTCTGCTGTCATCACACTGGTAACAAATATTTTTGTCCACGGTTTCCATTAGATTATAAGCATTCAAAAGGAGCAAATCCACGGTATTCACCTTTGTCTCCCTAGACTCTGGCTTGAAAACACTCAAGACAGTGCACTTAGTAACTCTGTCTTCATTTCTAGGCCTGCAAGCGTACTTGGACTTGGCAAGGAGTTGCCCTTGAAAGCTCAGAAGTGAAAATGCTACTGCAAAGGCAAGGATGGGGTCAACATCCAACTTCTAGCTTCTATAGTCCTTTATTAGCATTAAAAGCTGACACCATACAATTAAGTTAACACACTTACTTCAGAGATACACCAACAGAGTAGCATTGCCTCAGTCTCTGGGAAAGTGTGTCATTGGTTATTAAAAACACTAAAATTTTTACCAGGTCATTAATATTGAAGAGTTGAACATCAAGTTGGATTTCTTTGATGGGTGTAATCAAAGTAGCATTTTTAATGCTGAAGAGAGTTTAACAGTCTTTGTTCAATGAATGATAAGTAGAAAGGGATCATGGAGCACTCTTAGTCTAATAGATTCATTTTAATATTGGAAAATGGAGATCTAAAAGTAATAACTAGATGAATGTCACATTGCCACTTTAAGATTCAAACTTCAGATACCTTGATTTTCAATTTAGTTTATTTCTAATTAGCTAATAATTCCCAGACTATTCTCCCTCAAAATAAAATACTAATCCTCTCTCCATTAGCAGGGAGAAAAATGTATTTAGTGATTCTCAAACTGATCAAACCCAAACTTTTATTTTTATAAGAAATATTTTAAAGAGACTACCTACTATTTGAAATGAAACCCATATACAATGTAAACTACTTACACATTTAATATAAAAAACACCAAATGTAATATAAAGGACAAATAAAAAGGTATTTTAAATACATTTCTAATACAAAGACTATTCCATCTTCTAAAATGTTCATTTATGAATATACTGTACAACAGAATGAGACATTCTGATACTTGCTTTTTATGTCTCTATGTATTGTAGAATCATAATGAAAGTGACAGGTACTTTTTCTCAGAAAACAGAGATATTTCAGTGAGTTATAACTCAAATACCTTATCAGATGTTCATTCAACTACCATACCTCAGTTGCTGATGATAGACAATTCTTGGTCAAGGTCTCAGCAGAACAAAATACAATCCTCCATTAATTTATCTGGATGTTGCAATCCTGAAAATTTGGTATATGTTAAAATGATGAAATAAAAGTGAGTTTATAAGCAGACCAGAATTTAGTGTTAGGTTCAGATAATTCTGAGGAGGTTCACAGAGAAGCAGCATTGCTTAACAGTAGTTCTCATAATGTGCTCCCGGGGTAAAAAAGGACCAGCAGTACCCACATCTTAGAATTTCTAAGAAATGCAAAAATTTCTGACCCTCACCTCATCCCTACTGAAGCAGAAAATGTCTGTGTAGGTCCAGCATTCTGTGTCTTAACAATCCCCTTCAGGGGATCCTGATGCAGCTACAGTTTGAAAATCACTGGTTCAGAGGTAAACTGCAAGGACTTAGTCACTGCCTGAGCTGGGAGCTTCCTTGATCCTGAGGAAGTTATTTTACTTCCTCTTTGTGCTTTGGTTTTCTCATCTATAAAATGGGCATGTGTCTTTTATGACCACTTCATCTGGTTTTCATAAGTCCAAATGAATTCATATAGATCTGTCTTACTACATTTATTATTGTGTATATTTCTGTTAGAAAATGTTTCCCTATTAATTAGATAGTAGGTTCCAAATCCTGTTCTCCATTGCAATCTTAGCACCCTGAGTAATTTCTCGCACAAAGTAAGTGCTCAAATATGTTAAATGAATAACATGATGGACATAAATATAGCTACAATTGAGTCTTGAAAATGCAGGGGTTAGGAACACAACTGAAAAATCCATGTATAACTTTTGTCTCCCTAAAAACTAATAGCCAACTGCTGATTTTATAGTAGTAAAGTAGCAAATGATAAAACAGACTAGTATCTACATGTATTTTATGCATTCATGACATAACCTTTTCATTTTCTTTTCTTTTTTTTTTTAGTATTTCTACCCTATACAGTTCATCAGGTAGTTTCTTTTTTCCAAATTGTTGCAAATCTCCAAAAGTATTTACAGTATATTCATTGAAAAATAGCCATGTACAAAGTGGACCCAAGCAGTTCAAACCCATGTAGTTCAAAGGGCAGCTATTTATTTCACGGTATTTGGCATCATGATTTCCCTGACTTGTGACAAGTTTGAAAGCCACTGATGGGGAAAGTGTAGCAAAATAAAGGAAGATCTTAGAAACAGAGAAAAAACTGGATGTATTACTACAGAATGTTACTTGGTATTGTACACACCTCTATCAGTAGTCATAATAACTATAATTATTTATTTAGGGCTTCCAATTTTACCATAAAATTCTGAAGAATTAGCTCATTGAGTTATACAAATGAATGAGGAAGAGATTATCTAATTTCAATTTTATTAGAGACAAAACTGAGGCTCATAGTATTTATTAAGGAGTAATTCTCTTGAAAGAGAAAGTGGAGAGGGGAAAGGAATAGGAAGAGAAAGCCATGGGCTGCAGTGAAGTTCAGACACCTGGGAAGGGAAGACAGGAAGGAGGGCTAAGGAGAGAGAGACTCAGGAATAGAGCCCTGCGATAGTTTCAGCCAACCCAGTAGGGAATTCTGGCGCAAAGACCCCCACAGACAAGGTTGGCTTGGGCAGGAATGGCCCTAGTATCTGTGCTGGACTTAGTCACTGCCCTTGACTGGAAAGCTGAGATGGATGCTGAAGTTATGACAGAAGGCTACTGTCGGCGAACTACATGCTATGACAGGTTCTTTCCTGAAGAAAAACAGGAGTGGTGCACTATCATGGCAGTTACATTAAGAATCTTCTGTTTGAAATTAGCGGTGTGATCTATGAGCATAAAAAGGACCCTGGACCATTTACTCAGGTCTTGTGATGTCCCAAGTGCTGTAGTCCATTTCTGTCCTCCTGATCTGGGCAGATGTCAAAACTTCCGTGACTTCATGTTCCTGTAATTCATGGCAATTAGCTGACTGACTGCCTTTTCCACTAGGATCCATGCCCTTGACAGCAGGACTGCATTATTTTCATACCTTAGAGATTTTGACAGAGCCTGGCCAATATTTACTTATTTGTCCTCTCAATAAAATTATGAAAGGAAGGAAGGCAGAAGGAGTAAATAACTAGCTTTATGTGCGTGAAAACTTAGCTGATTGGAGCTTACCCTGGACAAAATCACAGGGTTGCTAGGTAATGCTGCTCAGATTGGTTGACTGTACTGTACCGATGTTTCTCAGGACCCCTTCGCATTCTTAAAGGTTATGAAGACTCCAAAGAGCTTTTGTTTATATGGAGTACATCTTACAGTGTTCACCCTATCAGAAATTAAAAGTAAAAATCTTAAATACTGACTTGTTTGATTATAACATAAAGTAACAGACTTTTTAAAAAATAAAGCTACATTTTCCAAAACAACAAAAAATTAGTGAGATGTGTAACATTGTTTTAATTTTGCAAACTTTGCCTAACTTCATGGAAGAGTGCTGTATTATATATACTGCCACATGCCATCTGTTCAGATATGTTGTTTTGGTTGAAGAATATGACGAAAACCCATCATTATACAGATACTTAACTGAAGAAGGAAGAACTCTGCACTCCCAGAAAAGTCTAACGGATTCTCATGAGTCCTTGGACCACGTTCTGAGAACTTCCTCACCAGAATAACTTTATATACCCTGAGATTCTCTCACTGTCAGCTATCTCAAAAATGTGTGTTCTTAGTCACAGGTGAATAAGGATGAGCAGAGTGGTTAATATGACCACAAACACAATTCCAAGAATGGAAAAACCACTCAAAGCACATCCCCTACTGATCATGGGTCACTAGTATCACTTCTGCATATCAGGGGTGGGAATATGCTGGGTTTACTCAATTAAGATATAAAAACTGGAAAAGGGCATCCTTGAATTTGATGGAATGTAAGCTGATGAAGTTAGGAAAATAATTGTGCTTTCTATTTGAGTAGCTTATTATTGTTTTCACTGTGCATTCATATATTATGTCAGTCTGATAGCAATCTTCCAGATATTATTGCTTCCACTTTACAGAAAAGGAAACTGGAGCTCAGAAAGGATAAGTGACCTTTCCATGGTCAAACTGCTAGTGAGTACAGATCTGATAGCCAACAAAAGACTTATGGTTTTAAGTTACATTGTTAGAATGAAAATAAGGAAGTGAAGCTTCGTCTACTTACTGACGCAGTCAGAAAATTAAAAGAAAGGTTGTGTAAATGACTTAGACAGAACATGCATGCGGGGGCAGTTGAACTGTGAATTACTGAGGTAGTCTCTACAGTGTGATCCCATTCTCAGTTCACTATTTCCTTCTGTTAAATAAACCAAGTTTTTGAAACGAAATTTTTAAGAAGCAGAATTTTTTTACTGATAGACCAGGATGATCCTATAAAACAATCTCTTCCTACCAACACCACAATGGTTGAACAAGTTATTGTTTCTTGCTGGATGGATGACTGCCATTACCTTCTAATTTTAAACACTTTTTCTTGAATTTAATGTACAAACTAGGAACCTCAGTATCATCCCTGACTCTTCCTTTTCCCACCACCCCCACTCCATCTCCCTAGTCACTGTATCACACTGAATCCACCCTTATCCCATTGTGATTTTTTATTTAAATGTAAATCACATCAAGTTACTCCCAATATTGGGAAGCTGGACACTTCCAATAGGTAAACTTTTTATCATCTCTCCATAAAATCCTCTCAAACCCTGCATGATGTGCCCTACCTCTCCCTTTGTTCCTCCAATTGTTCACTGTCCTGAAACTCTTGCCTCCTGTTTGGTCCTCAAACCCTCTCTATTTTTCTCTCTCATTACCTCCACACGTTGCTATTGTCTACCTGAAATAATTTGCCCAGTTTTTCACAAGACGGCTCATTTTCACTGTTGGTGAAATTCTCACTGATAAATATTTTACCTCCTCAGAAAGACCTCGTTGAAGTGGCCTTCTCCAGCTATTCAAGTTTTATTAGTCTGTTTACTTCTACGTAGCACCTAAAACTGCCTATAATTAATGCATTTTCCTACTTATTATCTATCTGTTCCACAGGAACATAGAATCCGTGAGGCATGCCTTGTCTGTCTTGTTCACCACTGTTATCTCAAGGATATAATGGATGCTCTATAAATATCTATTAAATGTTGGTTTAAACTCCTTACTCTCCAGTTTTAAGAATCAGGTTTATTGGAAGCAAATATTTATCGGACAAACATTTGTGTTAGTTTTATATTTGATAAAGTTTGTATTTCTCACATACACTGTTCACTTTCAGAGATATTCAACTAGTATAAGGGACCAACTTCTGAGCCCTGATGTCTGTAATTTCAAGTTAATATACCTGTGTGGATTAGTCTGAAAGTTGTGCAAGTTGACCCTGAGCTACTTCATAAATGTTTGGCTAGCACAAGTTATAAACACATGTTGAGCAACAGGAAGGTTAAACCATGTCTCAGTGTTTTATTTTTAGTTTTTCAGTTTGATTCCACTTCCCTTCTATAGATTATTGTGAAGAGAGAAACAAGAGGTCAAACAAGGTGAATTCTAAAATAGTTAAACTGTAGAGTCCTGGCACAAAGAGCAAAGCCAGACCATGGTGGCTAGTTTAAAGGTCAAGACTATCAGTTTCTCCAAGTTGAGAAAGTGTTTCCCTTTTCCAAGAATTAGATAA